CAATCACTCAAAGCCATCGTGCCCGCCGCCGTGCTCTGTGGCTCCGTGACGCCGCCCCTATAAACCACTTGTGCCCCCCGGGTGCCCACCCGCAGCATGTGAGCCGCGCCCAGGCCTTCTGCAGCAGCACGGTCAAGGCCGCAGCTGACGGCCACAGAGGCTGATGGCGAGAAAAGCCCCCAACTCAGTACCCCACCCACCCCCTACCCACACTCATGGTTTATTTTCTCCTCTAGCAGCCAGAAGTCTGGTATATTCATGGGAAAAGTTCAATGATCCTGAACTGGTTTTTTTTTTTTTTTAAAGATTTATTTATTTCTTTTTTTATTCATACAGAACTGGGGTACAGGCCAGAGGTGCAGAGGCAGTGAGAGGCTTCACCAGAGACAGAGTGGGGAGCAGAACAGGCAGATCGATGAAGTACACTGCTGAGGGGAGCAGCGGGCAGGTCAGGAGAGGTCTGCCACGCCATGTGGTCACCTCCGGGGCAGGCGGGAATCGAACTCATGCGGAAGTGGCTTTAGCTTCTCAGTGCCGTGCTTTAACCCGCTGCGCCACCAGGGAGGGCCGAATGATCCTGAACTGGGGTTTTGACCGGGATGCCCGGCCTGTTCAAAGCGAGTTTGTGTGTTTACTATGAAAACTCATCACTTCAGTCCTAACTTTGTTCAGCTGTGAGTACAGCTTGACAGGACGCCGGGCGCACAGTAGTCTCTGTGGCATGTTCTCTGTACTGTCCGTGAGTTACAGGCACTGCTTTCGTACTTCTTTTATTTCCTCCTATTCTGTTCATTTTCAGTATATTTTTGTAAGATGATTTAATGTCTGTTGAATCGAGTCATTTAACAACAATGGTCTTGTACATGGAAACAATCCAAATGCCCAAACGTAGATGACTGGATTAAAAAGATGTGGTACAGGGCTCTCCCTGGTGGCACAGCGGGTTAAAGCACAGCACTGAGAAGCTATTGCAGCCACTTCAGCATTAGTTCGATCCCCATCCCTCCCCCCGGTGACCCACATGGCGGTCACCTACCTGACCCGCCCGCTGTTCCCCTCAGCAGTGTACTTCGCCCATCTGCCTGTTCTGCTCCCCACTCTGTCTCTGGTGAATCCTCTCACTGCCCCTGTACCTCTGGCCTATACTCCAGTTCTGTATGCATAGATAAATAAATCTTAAAAAAACAAAAGATGTGGTACATATACACAATGGAATATTTCTCAGCAACCAAAAAAAAAAAAGAAAGAAAGAAATACACGCCTTTTGCAGCAACATGGATGGAGCTGGAAAAGATCATGCGTAGTGAAATAAGCAAGAAAGAAAAGGAAAAATGCCAGATGGTTTCACTCATAGCAGGAGCATAACAAACCAGGGGAGAAAACAATAATAATAATGAACAACTATATACCAGAGTGGGGAATGAGATAAAGAATGGTGGGGGAGGGAAGTGCACTGGACTATGGTGATGGCACACGGATGACTGGTGATGGGAAGCCCACGGGGATTACAACTGAGATGAAAAAAGGCATAAAATGATGTAAAAATAGACTATTATATTATCCAAAAAAAAACCAACAATGGTTTTGTATTTCATGTTTATTTTCCCGCAATCACCCTTACTGTGTTAAAAATATGATCTCACAATGGACTAATTAAAAAGCAACAACCACCCACTGACCACCCACTGATCCAACATAAAATCCCAGAGGTTGTCAGGCTGCTGTCCCCTGGCTGAGTGCCCCCCGCTTGTCTTACTGGGCCAGGACTAGCCTCAGAGGCTGGAAACAGCTGATGGGGGTGGAGGCGCCAGCCTACAACTCCTTTCTTAATGGCTCAGTTCCATAGTGTCTGCAGAACTTGGTCACCTACACAGTCGCAAGCTAATGGCCCCGGGGGACCAAGGCCACGTGGACTGGAAGTCAGGCAACCAGCAGTCACTGATCACAGTGATCACGGCGGCTGTGACCATCCAGTCAAAGGTGGTTCGTGGAGGCCCAGAGAGGCGGAAAGTCTCATATCTCTGAGCCTGGAGGACCATGCGTTTCTGGCTTTTCTCTTCTGGGAAGACGTCCCTAAACTTCTGCCGCCATGTGTGAGTCTCTGCAGGTGCCTGACCCCCAAAGCTGCAGTGTCTGCCCCCAAGGCCTGCTGAAGTCCGCCTTGCCCTGCCCTGCCCTGGGAGGCGCCAGGCTCGCAGGTCTGGGGCCCGTCACATCTGCTCTCACAGGCGTTGCTGAGCCTCTGTGCTGCTGGCTGCCTTCTCTGGGCTTCCGTCTTTTGGGACCCCAGAAGCAGGATCAGCCTGAACCTCGAGTGTCTGGATGAGAATGCCCAAGACTGCTGAAAAAAGCACTTCCTCCCCCTTGCGATCAACCATAGGAATAAAAATGTTTGATTAAGGAAAATGGGGTGGGTTAATTTCAAAATATGGCTACCCATTGATACAGGATGTATTTTGTAAGTAGTTTTTTAAATGCTTTCCTCCGGCTCCTGGCTGCGACAGGATATGTGAGGCAGCTTCCTCCCTGCTCTTTGCTGAATTTCTTCGCTTTTACCCCCAGTCTGTATGCATGCTGTCCCCGTGGCCTGCAGTGGCCCCTCCAGCTCACCTTTGGAACTCTGACCAGCCTCGTGGAGTTCCCCAAGAGTCTCCCCTGGGCACAGTCCCCGCCTTGGCCTCAAGCCCACTAGATTTTAACAGATTGCACCGGGCAGGGGTTCCCTTGGCTTGTCTCCCTTGGCTTGTCTCCCAGCGCCATCTACTGGCGATAGAAAAGAAATCCTCTTCGGATGGGATATTTTTCCAGTCCTGAGCTCAAATGCACACACAAAAAATTTTTTTTCCTCCCTAAATCTCCATTTAATCCTTGCTGTGAGCACCCAATCAATTCAGATAATTAAGACTAATTTTTTATCTCCATCAATTTCTCCTAGATGGTGGCTAAGTTCTGGGTGCCACACTGGGGCGGGGGTGGGGGTGGGGCTCCCCAGGGCATCCCTGACATTACCCCTAGGCAGTTTTGGAAGTCCAGAGACTGTGGAACCTCCTGAGGAACCTGTCCACTGTCCACTGAGACACTTTGCTGCTGTTTCTGCACCCTCCCCATACCGTCCAGTGCTGGGCACGGTTCTGGAACACACTTTCTCAGGCCCTGCTAAAAACCAGCTCATGCGTCCTTGACTACACAGACTCTCTGGGGCTTCTGCCCAGACCCTGGATTGACCCTGGCTAAGAAGAGTGAGGCTCTCCCCCCTCACTCCACCCCCACCCCCCACTCTCAACGGTGGGCGAGAACCTTCTTCATTCTGCTCCTTCACACACCAGCTGGAAAGCCTGTTTGGGAAAACGCAGCAGAGGGAGCGTCAGCAGTAAACCCAAAAACTGGCTCAGTAGCTTCTTCCTTCCCAATATGTATTTAGTACACGCTAAAGCATATACACAGCTTTTTCTTTCCTCATAATTAAGAATCTGACATTTTTGTTTCCTGCTTATATTAACTGCCTCTTGCACTTAGGATGGGGGGAGGGAGGGTGTGGCTGGGGAGGAAACTCCCTGTGGGGCTGGGTATACCCAGGAAGAAATTCAGCATAACAAGGAGAAACCACACCCCTCAACCCACACCCCTCAAGTAGCCTCCCAACAAACCCCAACACTGGATGCCTTTATTTTCCGTTTACACTTAAGAATATTAGCTGCCCACCCTTTGAGGGTTCCTTTCCTCTCTTCTTTTGTCATAAACAAAAATGTTATTTGCTTTGTGTGGAAACATCTGAAGATGCCATGCAGACAGATGTCAGGCACGGTTGTCTGCTCTTTAGCTAGATACCACCTAGGAAACAGGCCATGCTTTTCCATAGCCATAGGACACGGTTGCATTTGGGAAATTTAATTTTAATACAGTATGTTTAACTATAGGCTCAGTTTTCAAATTTATACCACCCACTATACCTTTATAGCATCTTTTCCAATTCAGGAAAATAAATTGCACACAGTTGTCCTGTCCCATTATTCTCCTTTACTTCGGAGCTGCTTCTTGGTGTTGTCACAATATCAAGTTGTAACTTTTCATAAAATGCCCCTCAATTTGGGTTTGTCAGTTGTCATTCTCAGGATTCACTTCGGCAGGAACAGCACATGAGTAATGTGTCCACCTGGCGCATCACTGCCCAGAGGCACTGATGGCCTGAGTGAGTTCTGTGCTTGCAAAATGGTCTTACTACAGCCCTTCTGTGCCCGTCCCTTACTACTCTACGCTGAGGAGCTTTGAAGATTGCCTTTAGGAGCCTGGTGGAAGGCCTTCTCACCAGGCAAGCTTGCCATCCTTGAAGGCCAGGTTCGCAGTCACCTGAGAGCCTCCCCTGCCCCAGCTGGGCAGACACCCATCAACCCACCCACTCCCTCCTTCAAGAGGGTGGGCTGCAGCCAACCTCAGAGCCCCCCTTACCACTACCAAAAGTAGCCCTTGATTTAAAAATCCATGATGTTGTCCCCCCACCCCTAGCATGTTTGCATAAATGGAAGAGTCTTATTTCATCCTTCTGTTTTCATAAGTCTTTATCTAGTGCGTGACTCTCCACCATCTTTGGTTTTAAAGTCTCTTTATTCTATATAGGGTAACTTGGCAACATTTATCTAGGAATTTATCCCTTGTATGTGGGCATTTGTGTATATATGCAGTGTAATATATATATATATATATATATATATTTAAAAAAAGATTAGAATGACCTCAACACCTGGCTATAAGGAACTCACTCATAGGGTATGAATGTATGCACGGTGGATGTATGCACATGGTGGAACAGTATATAGCCCTGAAAAGTAAAACTCTTCAGGTTGACGGGAAGTTGTCTCAGGGATAGTGTTATCTTAAAAGAAAAGAGAAATAGCACAGTACATAACCTTCATTTAAATTCCCCAAAGAGTAGAATAACTTCAAGTCTTACATGAAAGCCATTATCTACTCCATGTAAAGATAAATACAAGTCAGAAGAGCAATGTGGTTTCCATCATTTGAAGTTATTTTATTGATATTCATGAGCAAATAAAATTTTATTGTTGATTTTTGATGCATTACAACACACTTTTTGGTAGTGGTTGCACAATGTTGATCGTTTATTTACTACACTAAATACTGCAACCTCCAAATTGCTGATTTTTACACTGATATTTCCTTTGAAATGAAGGGTGGCTCCTCTCTGAATACATAAAGTGGTCCATTCAGTTCAGGGTTTTCACATTCTTTTGTTATTCTACCTACTGCTTTAAAATACATTCAAATAAAAAGATATAAGCTCCTTGCAGTGAGTACACACATACTACAGTGAGGAGAGTTGGAAGCATAATTAACCAATGTCCTCGAGTTCAGAGAACAGTCTACAACCATGGGATCAAAGCTTGTTCCTAGGGACTTTCTCAAGGAGAAAGGTTACACTCACTCAACTGAAGGTTACATCTTTTGCTAAGGGGGGGTGAGGGGCGTGTGGGCTGCAAATTGACAGCTTCATTTGCATATGAGGTGATCCTTCCATCCATGACTGGACCACATGGCCATGGCACACGGTGATGTACAGTGCGGTCCTCAGATTAGAATAAATAAGTTACCTGCTTGGATTGGGATGCCACAGATACACTGTGACCAGAGCTGGAAAGGAGAGAGGATGTTTGTTTACAATATAGTACACACAATAATAAATAAAAATTCAAGACTTAGGTGGGTGACGGCAACAGGATGAGGCTCCTGCTCCTTCAGGCTCTCCTCACAAGCACCTGTCTGTCCCTAAGGGTCAAAAGTGGCACAAGGAGATGAAGGCTGGGGAGGAAGAGAGCTGGCCGGGATCACGCTCTTCGGAAAAAAAAAAAAAGGCAAAACGTGGGCATAGGATGACGACCACAGAAGACCACATGAGCGACAGCCTGGGGGGCTAGGGTCAGGTTCTGGGGTATGGACTGGAGCTAGCAGGGCACCAAGCCTCCATCCCTCCTGGAGCCAGTCTGGTATCGTGTCTGGCTATGGTTCTGCTCTTTTACTTTCACCGTTGACAAATCTCACCACCTTCCCCAGCTCCTGTTCTCCCACTGTCAATTTGGTCGTGACACTGGGTTCCCGAAATAGGCTGCTATCTCATAGGTGGCTTGGGGTGCTGGAACCTGTATGCCGGTGTCCTCCAGAGGGCAGACAGACACTGTGACTGCCCATCTAGTACCATTGCGTCCCTGAATAGACAAAAAAAGGGGGGGGGAGGGAGAACCAATCACACAGAACACACAGGGGCTGCTGAACCGCATAGTGCAGTGGAAATACATTCTCTTTCCGGTCAGACGTCTGGCCTGAGAGCCGATTACAAAACATGGCAGGCTGACTTCGGGGGGAGGGCATGGAAGTCACACCTCGGAAAAGAAGCGACCGTCCCTTGAAGCAGAGCAGTGTAGGTCTTGGAGAAGCCGGGCTCCGTCTAAGAAACGCGAGCTCCCCCGCCGTGAGCGCTGCGTGGCTGCATGTGCCGGGTCGGGGCTCGCTCCCGGCTGGGTGAGGCGCCCGTGGTAGCACCGGGCGGGCCAGAGGTGCGGTGCCATGCCGAGGGGCAGCTCGCCAGGTGAAGTGCTGGCAGCAGCCAAGAATTCGCGGGTTTCCTATCCATGGGATAAGAACACACTTGGAGTTTCAGTGCTTCTCAAAGGAAAGAAGGAGAAAAAGACACCTGCCCGCCGCCTCCAGCCAGCCAGCACAGGTGAGTCCTCGGAGCGAGGACGGTGCAGGGGCGTCCCCAGGGGGGACCCGAGGGGGCAGGGCAGATACAAGGTCTCCAAGTCTTATGTACACATTTTACAGAGTCTCCACTCTTCCCCCACGAGGCACGAGGTTGATTTGTCTAGCTCAGGAGGGTGGGCAGTGGGGGAAGAGGGACAGTGAAGAGCTGGGTGGCGAGGGAGGCGGGCGGAGGGTCCTTCTGCTCCAGGCAGGGCCGCTCCCGTCCTCACCGCAAGCTGGTCTGTTTGGGGAGCTTAGCACCCATTAAGATGCCCGAGGTGAGGGTCACGGGGGCTTTCATCTGCATGCTGGACCCCACCATGGTGGGGAAGCTGCGATTCCGCCGGATGCCGCTGTTGAGCTGCAGCCCGCCGATGGCGCTGGTGACGGTGGGGCACCCGAGAGGCAGGCCCTCGGGTACCAGGCCTCCGGGGACGAAGGTCTGCGCGGGGCCGGGGGGCCCACAGAGGAGAGGTCCTGGTTCCTCCGTCAAGGTGGGGATGTGGGCTCGCCCTGAGTTCACCACTTTGGCCACGCCAAACCTCCTGACCTTGTCCACGAGGTTGAGGTTGGAGACAGACACATCTGTCTGGCTCTCGCTGCTCCGGACGTTCTTCTTTTCCCTCACCTCCCTCAGGATGGAGCTGGCCGGCTTGGAAGCCAGGAAGTTGTCATAGGGAGGGCTCGTGCACTTGAACTCGAAGGAGGGTGGTGAAGAAGTGGGTGTCTGCATAGGTGAGTTGGGTGGGGTGGAGGGGATCACGGCCATCCTGGGGGTGTAGGAGTGCAGGAGGGAGCCCCGGCCGGCCCTGTCCCAGCTCTGGGGGTCGTACACGGCCGCAGAAATGCCCCGTTCCTTCAGCAGCCACACCAGCCCCAGAGACGTGCTCATGGTGGTGGTGGACTCACGGGTGTTGGTGAAGGATTCAGCCAGGCTCAGTCTCCGTGGGGTGCATGGCGTGGCTACCGGCGTGGACTTCAAGTGGCTGGTGCTACCACAAGCTGGAGTCGGGGCCGAGTTAAGGCTGATGGGGAAAGACAACAGGTCACTCATCGGAAATTGCTCATGTGCACCATGAAAAGGGCCAGTGGCCATTCTCCTGCAGGGGTGCAGGGCAGCCCTGGGGCAGGATGTGAGGACAACCTCAGCCCAGGCTCCCCACGGCCTCTTTCCATGTCCACTCCTCTGGCTCGCTCCAGGAGGCCCTGTGTGCCCTTAAAAGGGGGCATGGATGGGTTTAAGTCAACAGAATACCCTTCTCTCAGCCCTGGCGAGCGGGTCTCAACTGTCCCCTCCGCAGACAGTGTGCTGAGGCTGAGGTTAGGCGCTTACTCATGTCACTCCAGGCTATGAAGTGGAAGACCCTGGATTTAAACCCCAAGGTAGTCAGAGACAGGGGAGGAGACCCTTCAGCAAAGAGCCTTTCTTCCCCTACCAGATTTACTCAAAACTCAGCGCTCATACCTAATACTACTTTCCTGAGACAAGAAGTTAACCAGGGACTAAGAGGACTATGGTTTGTGAGCGTCTATCCTACAAGGGCCAGACAAGGGAGACAAGCCCAGGGGAAGGTCCCTGGGTGAGGAGAGATGGAGCTGAGGATACACACTAAGCCAGGGACCCACACTCCCAGGACAGTGTTCCTTCCTCGCACCAGGGGTGTCCAGAGCCTCTGTGATGAGCAGTTTTGGGGTTAGACAAAGCCAGTCACCTGTTACGGGGTCACATCGATGGAGCCCTCCAGAAAGCCCCCTCCAGACATGCTGACTGAGGATCTATGTTCTGGAATCTGGGACCCGGCAATGAAGGGAGTCAGGACAGAAAAGGGCAATAGGAGGGATCAGGGGGAAGCATTATTTTCTCCTTAGACAGGAAAGGATCCCTTTGAGCAGCTACTACAGGTGAGGTCACACAGGCATAGAAGCCCCACACCGTTCCTGAGTGAACAACCTCAGGTCAAGGCAGGGCACCCACAACAGTCTCATGAGCTCTGCGCTGGTGCCTGCCTGAGGGTATCTGGGGTCGCGGCTGCCCCTTGGAGCAGGCTGGCCCCCAGGAGCTGGGGGACAGAACCCTCTCCCCACAGTGTGGCAGGGGGATGGCCGGATAGCTTGGGCGAAGGGGATCCTGATTTGTTCTAGAACAGCCCCCTGAAACAGAAGGAGCCTTGCCCCACCCCCACCTGCCATGGGAAGATGGTTCCAAAGCAAGTACAAACTGGGGCATCATCTATCTCCCCGGCAGGGGGCCCCACAGCTGGCTGCCAGGACTAGGAACACAGAGAAGGCCCATCACACAAGCTCGGGGTGGGGATGATGGTGGGTCGGGAGCGCTCACAAACATGGGATTAGAAACGGCAGCAGACCCCTAGGGACAACAGGAGGACTTTTCAGAAGGTGGCGTGGGATCCTACAGGACCCTGATCTATGAGCCACCGGGGGAAGTTGCAGATGTAACATCTTGCTTACAGGGCCAGGCCTAGGGAGCCTTTCGATTTGGTGCCAGGCCATCACTTTGGCAAACCCGGGTAAAAAGCCACCTGTAGCTAGTAACATCACAGGTGTTTGCCAGCCCTGACGAGGCATCACGGACACACAGGTGCAGACCTGTGTGCTCCCGAGCCTGTGGCCAGACGGTGGGGCGCCAGAGTACCAGTGGCCACGGGGAAGCACTTTGATCTTTTCCAAACAAAAAGCCACAGGCTGGGACAGCCAGGTTTTCCAGAGAAAGGGAGGGAGGTGGAGAGACAAGCTCGAATCTAGAGATCCCTCTGGTGAGAGCTTCAGTTAGGCCTGGATTAGTGTTGGCGATTGGCTCGGCCGGGGTGTTTAGAAGGGTTAGAGGTATCCACCACCAAGGCCACATTAGCCAGGCACACCACAGAGACACACCCACGCCTAAGTCCCGGTTAGTAGGCCACGTGTGCATACACAACTCCTTGCACGTGGCTCTCCAGGCAGGCCCTGCTGGCGGTGTGCTCACCCCCTGCCTCGCCCGTGGGCTCACACTCTGCCCTACATCTCCTCTCAGCTCAACAGGGCATAGGGCTGCTTCGGCGTCCTCCTCACATGACCTGTGGAGAGTTATTCAGAGTTTAAGGTGCTCCTGGGAGCACTGCCCCCTCCGGGTCGGCCCATCTTGCCTCCCTCCCTTTCTTCTTTATCTTCCGTTAACTCTGGCATCTTGCCAGAATAAAAATGACTGAGGTTGCCACTCATCCATGCTGGGAAGAACTTCCCGTTCACTGGAAGCTGTGGGAGGCTTGGCATTGAGTCGAGCGGGCACCGCCATGCTAACTTGGTGCCAGCCCTTGTCAGCTGCTTCTTGAGGCACCAGAGGCAAACAGACTGCAGGGCACATGGCTCAGCCTTCAAATCCTATCACTTTAGTTGTTAAAGTGTGGCCATGGTGCATGGTTCCTGAGGCCTATTCCAGAGGCCGATGGGTTTCCTTGGGGCTCAGTACTCCCCACCTGTGAAAAGCTCTACTGCAGACTTTGGCGCCTAGGGCAGTATCTGCGTCAGTTGGTTCAGGAGGAGCCAAAGAATCTATTCGGTGGCCAAAGCAAAGGACCGGTGAGGTGGGTCTCTCAGGTGGCTTTGATTCAGTGAGGGTCCCGATTCAAAAGGAAAGACGGGACCCAGATCTCATGACTCTAAACAGCCATGAGATGCTTAAGTTGGCCAGGGTTACTTTTTGAAATCATCTCTACTTTGGCCTTCCTTGATGTGAAACGCTGTGGCGAGCACCTCAACCTCCCCTCACACCACCACCACCCCCTTCCCACCCCACGGCCGAGGGCCCTTACCTTGGCGTGACCCTTGTGAGCTCGTCAGAAGGATGTAGGATGCGGCAGGTGGTGAAGGTGAAGGTGGAGTTGGTCTGTGACATGCACTTCCCAGGGTGGTGTGCTAAATTGGGGGGTGGGGGTAAGACAAAACATATTCCTTGCATCCAAGTATACACACAAGAAAAGTAAGACTCCATCATGGCCCTTAACAGATGCAAGAAGCAATAAGCAACCTTGTTGGCTGGATCTAGATGAGGAAGGTGAAGTGCACATGTTCTGCATTGAAGGGGTTCCTCAAAGAGAACCACATTTTGAGCACTGTTCTGCAGAGCATAGAACTTCGGCTTCCAACCCAGTCCAGACAGGCTTCCCCACCAGCAGTGCTTGGCTAGTAGTGGACCCAGTATTGGGGAGGGCTGTCATGGGCCCTTGGGGGTAAATTTCCCTCCTCAGAGGCCTCATTGGCTTCTTTCTTTTGTTGCTTTACATTTTGTTGGCAAACAGGTACCAAACCCTGTTTAGCTTGGAAATGGGGTAAGGCTCCCAACTCCCTGTTTTATTTACACAAGTGGGGCTGGGGTCTGGCTCCACTACTGTCCGTCGCGGTCAGCGGGGTAGGAAATGAGATCTCAGCTGCCTCCGCAACAACACGGCAGATCCCACAGCCCGGGGCTCTCTGGGATGCTAAAGCACCGGGATCAGGTCTGCGCTGACAAAGGGCTGCAGTGAAACAGGACCAGCCCTCCGCGGCTTCCTCCCCATCTCGAGGACGTTCGGCTTCTAATGAAAATGAGATGGGAGCCAGCTGTCCTCAGCTCATTTCCTTTTAAGGTTCTAAAGCTGTGTTAAGGCAGCTGAAGACCATGGTCTGCAGCAGACAACCACCGAAGCATTAGGACCAAGCATCAGGAAGCTGGTGAGTAAGAAGAGTTGGCAGGAGACATCATGATTGTAGAGTCATCCTCATTCATAACTCAAATGTTTAAAAAGAGGAAAAAAAGTGGGAAAAAAAAAAAAAGCTGCTCCAAACAGCATGCACAATGGAGTATGCTGTGATCCCCGCCCGCCCGCAGCAGCTCAGCCCCAGAGACCTCCTGGGGACTCAGACTGGGTTGTCAGAGGCCACGAGCACTCTGAGGATTCAAAAGGCTGTGAACGAGAGGCGTCTAGCTCTTTACGGCAAGCTTTCTCTTCAATTTGACAAAAAGAAAAACCAAACAAAAGAGATCGATGCCCTAAACCTACAGATTCACACTCAGGCAATTGTGTTTAAAAAACAAAAACAAAAACAAAAGCTACCAGATGACATGAAGAAAATGCTGGAGACACAGACAGGGAGGCAGGACAACGCCAGCTCAGAGCGGGTCGTGGCCGAGGAGCAGCGCAGCTCTGCTTTGCCCTGGGCCGTGGCCCGACCCAGCTCTCCGAGACACCTCCCGGGGCCCCAGGTGGCAGCTGGCACCGGGCACTCTCAACCCGGGCAGGCACCAGCAGAGCAAAGGGGAAAAACAACACACATGGAAAGAGCCTTCATGAATCTGTTTCTCAGCCAATAGTGGTAGCAATAGTGGTAGCAACTCAGATAACTGAGAAAGTGCTGCAAACAAACAAAAAAAAAAAAAAAAAAAGAAAGAAGCTATGAAGAAAAGGCAACCAAACAATCACGAATCTCTCGCTGCAGTGTGGCTGAGAAAAGCATCCCAAACAGTGGGTGTAAGCAGTTAGTTGGGTGGGGGGAGGGAGGGAAATTGCAGCAAATGGAAAAAGGGCAGAACAGCTAAAAGAGAGAGGAGAGTTTTGGTTGTTTTTGAAAAACAAAGCAAGACTGATTTACAGTTAGCAGCATACCCCATTTGAACACATGGTCAGAACATCAAACAGATCACAATGGCCACTTGCTCCTCCACCCCATCATATATTAGGTCTTCGATTGCAGCAGGTGTTATAAGATGCACAGTTCAGAGACACAGTTAGATCAGCAGAAGCAAAACCCATTTTATAGAAATGGGTTTTGGGGCCAGGAAAAGGCTGCTAAAAATTCAGAGGTCATCGTTCCCCAGAAGCAATGGATAGCTTTAAGGAGACCAAAGAAAATCAACAAGTGTCAAAAGTGCCAAAGCCAGAGGTCGGTCCCCTCCAAAATACCACCGGGATGCCTGGACCGGCCAGCTCTCCTCAGTCACCACTGCCTGCCAGGCTGCTGCAGCACTTCCCTTCCTTGGGACACAACAGAGACAGTGAGCGCCAGCCCCGGGGGGGGGGGGGGGGGGGGCAGAGGCCCCTGCTGCAGAAAGAGGCCCAGGTAGCGCTGCTCTCGCAGGCAGTGGGTGCTAGTGGGGCTCACTCGGGAAGTGCCCAGCCCCAGCACATCCCAGAAGCCCGGTCTCGGGAAGGGGTGTCCCCCATGCTGCTCACTGTGAGACCTCTTCGGGCAGGGTTTGCTGGACTTCTCAGACTAACTGGAGGCCTCAGTGTGTTGTGAAAAGGCAGGTTGGGGATTGGCACAAGTACTTCTATCACCTTTTATTTAGTACTTTTATTTAGGGTTGAATTTATAGGGGAACAAAACGCTAAACCTTTTTTTTTTTTTAGATTTACTTATTCATACAGAGCTGGGGTACCAGCCAGAGGTACAGAGGTGAGAGGCTCCACCAGAGACAGGATGGGGAGAAGAACAGGCAGACTGATGAAGTACACTGCTGAGGGGAGCAGCAGGTGAGACAGGAGAGGTCTGCCGCGCCGTTTGGGTCACCTCCGGGGCCGGGGATGGAACTCACACTGAAGCGGTTGCAGCCAGCTTGCAGTGCTGCGTCCTAACCCGTTGTGCCACCAGGGAGGGCCCACCTTAGTTGTTTTTAAATGCTCTTCTTCCCCCAGATTCTGATACTGGTCCAAAATCCAGAAAATCCATTAAGCTTCATTATCCTTGATTATTCAAGAGTTTTTATGTTGCACTACAGTGCTGGGGGCTGGCATGTGGATGCTGTACTGAACACCCCACACACAAGCACACACGTGGGGGGCTTGAGGGTTCTGGCAGACAAGAGCCACCCTGAACACCAGCCCCCACAGCCTGCCGGGCTTTCAGCCTGGAGCACAGAGACTTGCTCAGTGGTTCTGGGCCGCTGTGTTTCTCTGTGGTCCGTGGGGCTGGTACTGTCTGGAGACCGGGATGCTTGGGATCCTGCGGCTACAGCCATGGGGATGCTCTGGCTCGGCCCCAGTCTCCAGTAAGCGGGGGCTTCCCCCTGGGTGCCCCTGCCGTCTGCGCTGGGTCAAGTGTGCTCTATGGGCCGCGCTAAGGGGACTCAGTCTACACAGCTCATGCGTTTCAGTCAACCTGAGCTGTGCTCTCTTCTCCTATCCACAGGGAAGGGCAGGCTGCCTACTCCTGGGGAGAACAGATGCTTTTCTCTCTGAAGGTCCTTGTAGAACCCAGTACTGAAGAGAACCCTGAAGAGACGCCCAAGGCTGCATCCCCCCGCCCACCCCCGTAAGCACTATAGGGAGTTGCAAGCTGCAGACATAAAGGCAGCTTCCAAGGGATTTCCGACGTGGGGGGACTGCTGGCCATGCCACATACCCAAGCGTTTTATTTTTGCTTATATAAATAGCTTCTTAAAATGGTATTTTTCAAAATTACAAATGCATCTCAAAATCTTGGGGATGGGAACTCTGTTTTCAGAAGGCACCGTGAGGCTTCCACAGTCGCCCCACGCTTCATGGAAAGTGGCTACTTGTGTAAAATAAAATCCTGCTCTTTCCTTGGACTTGGGTCCACTTGCAGGTTCCATACCATAAACACATTAACTCGGCTTCTTCCCCACCCATCCCACCCCACCCCCCTTCCCAGCCACCACACAGCACCACCAGCCAGTCTCTCCTCTCCTAGTCAAAACACCTGTTGAAAATAAAAGTCCTCATTCATCCAGCTTACAGGTGTGGCTGAACCAAGCTCGAACATCAGACCTTGGTGGTTTTTCTAAACCCCCTTTACCAGCTTCTAATAACTTTGCTGCCCTTTGTTCAAGGAGGAACTGCATGGGGGTGGAGGTGGGGTAGGACACTCCTTTGCCAGTCAGTTACAAGCCCCAACTTAATTAAAAGCAATGCTCCTTCCTACAAGACTAAAAAGCAGGGCATACAGACACATCTCCCCCTCTTTATGTAAGGCTGCCCATGGATCTCCTGGAAAAGAAAGCTCTAGGCTGAGTTCATGAGGGAAAGCTGTTTGCCCTGCATTATCATCTGGGAGTAATGTGCCTCTCTCAGGTGCTTTCCAGTGAGGGGCGGGGCGCCCACGGCACTTCCACACATGATAGTGCAGTAAGGAAAAAGCATAGGACAAAAGTGATTGTTGAACTAACTAGTACAACACAATGGCACTTTTAAGCCCTTTGTTCCCGGCCTGACTGGACCAGGCAGCTCTTTTTCCCTGGGAGGCATTTCTCCACCACACCCCGGTGGTCTGCCGCTCCACAGGGACCCCGAGGCCCCATGCAGACAGGTAGAAAGCCAGATCCAGAGTTATTTCTGGTTTCTATAAAGCCTTATTTTGGGTTCCTGCAAAAGTAAAAGCCTGCTTTGCCTCTGCCACTGACCTGCCCACTCCCCCTTCATCTAAAAATCCGGTGAGTTTAGAGATGAGCAATCCTACAGCAGCAAGCAGAGAGGGACAGAATATCCCTCAAGTGGCCCCAGGGTATCTTCTAGAGGAAAAGGAGGTTTTTTTAGAATATACTAAACGAGGGCCAAAGTCTCTTTGGCTCCTCCAAATGCCAATAAACGCAGGCCCCTGCCCTCTGGGGCCTGACTGAACTGCGCCGGCCTCTCCAGGCAGATTCAAGCACATGCGTCTCGCATACCCTAGGCTGTGTGGCTGGACAAGTCACCCAACCTCAGCACCCACGGCTCGTGTGCTCCTCATGGGCCCTTCCATGTCAGGAAAGTGTCACCCACTCCTGATACCTCTGAGGAGCACCTACAGTTTTCAGAGGTGTGGTGGCCACAGAGAAAGAGGTCCCCATGAATTGGGTTGGCTCAGGAAATTTTAAGCCAGGTTGCCTCTAGGCTGTTGGTTTGAGGAGTCAAGGATCTCCCTTCATTCATTGGGTTGCAGCTTGTTTTGTTGGCTTAGCCTGGAGTCTGATCAAGGGCACGAGGGCTTTGTGAGGCTCTCAGGGTAGGCCGGTGGGCAGACTGCCTGCTCGAGCTGAGTGCTTGGCTCTAGGCCTGGGTTGGAATCTTCCCATCAGTGCAGGAACTCACGGTCAAACCTTTCCACAGAGACAAGAAGGAACTTCCCTACACCTGAGGGTCTGTGCAGCCAGTCACCAGGCTTTTCCTTCCTGGTCCATCAGGCCCCGATGACCACAGACCCCTCACAAGCCCTCCTGGGCTCAACCTGTGCATGGGGCTGAAAATGCAGGAGGCCGCAGGCTGGTGCAGCTTTGCCCACAGGGCCCTGCTGGGAGCAATACTTGAAGCTTTCTATCTAGCCCCCTTCCTCCTAGAGTTATACCCCCCACCCTCACCCCACCCTTGCCTTGCTCAGGAAAGGCTCCCCAGCTCCTGCACAGGGCCAGGATAACAGGGAAGTCTCCAAAGAAGTTCCCGGCTTTTGCCCTTGGGGGCTCAGGCAGGAGCTTTGGGGAGTCTCAGGGCTGCTCTGCTGATGCGAGCTGCCTCCTGTAATTCCTTTAGGCTCTCAGTCCCTGTGATGGCACAGATCCACTGCAGGGCCGCGGCCAGGCAGATGCCATGATTTATATGGGTCTATTTTAGGGCGTTTTCTCACTTGAAATGGTTTCTGTGTGTATATGAGTATTAAGATAAACTGGCCTCACCTTCTCCTACAGGGCACTAACCCCACTGCTTCTTTCCCTCTAAGGGTCAAGGCACCCAGGATAATTCAATTGAATTGTCCATTAGACCAATCATCTACTGACCTAACTATGACTTTAGAACTCTGCTATCCACCCTTTACACAAACAGACTCTACCCTAGAGAGCTAAAATTCAAAACAGGCAGCACAAGGTAAACACTATTTCTGATAGAACTTTCTACATGAAGTAACACAAAATAATGTCACTGGAATAAGGTAAAATTATAATCTAAAAATTGTTTTAAACAATCCATTTTAATCACCTGGGTTATTTACAATATATTAACACGGAATCATCTTTTATAAGACATGGGATAATAAAAATCAGTCAGCAAATGATGATACAATAATACATCAAAACAGTAATCAAATTGTTTCAGTATGCAAAGCCCTTTCTCAATAAAACAGCAGTCTTTATACCAAAGTATCCATTACAACAGTATTTCCAGTTTCCTCCTGGTGGAGTGGTAGTAAAACAAAACGTTGGGTCTCCTTGGTGATGCAAGGGATTAAAGTACAGCACTATGAGGCTCTCCACCGCTACTGCAGCACGAATTTGATCCCAGCCAGGGAGGTGACCACATGGCGCAGCAGACCTCTCCTGACCCGCCCACTGCTCCCCTCAGCAGTGTACTTCGTTGATCTGCCTGTTCTGCTCCCCACTCTGTCTCTGGTGAAGCCTCTCACCCTCTGCATCTCTGGACTGTACCCCAGTTCTACTATGTATAAATAAATAAATATTTTAAAAATATATTTAAAAAAAAGAGAGAGAGAGAGAGAGAGAAAGTTAATTACCTTCTGTCTCCAAAGTTTTTCCCTATGAAGTCTGTCTCAGTCTGTACTATTTGGCAACAAAAAATTTCAAGCACTGGGCAAGAGCAAGACTGGAACAAGGCAGGGCCGGCCTAGCCCGATACAAACCCCAAGTCAGGATGTGCCATTCTGTCTGTCTCAGCTGTCCTCCTGTAACTTATCTACCTGCGACTCTGCTTGGGGCCGCCAAGATGATTTATTTAGAGAAATGCATCAAGTTTTTAAAGATGAGTCTTACCCAAAAAATAAGCTCAAAAGGACACTCATCTAAGTGACCAGACCTTTCCTAATTCTTCATGGTCACACACTTCCAACCTGACCCCTCTGCAGCGTCAGCCGAGAATGTATGGGGGTTTCTCCTCAAAGACAGCCGCCGCGGGGTGAGCCTGCCGCAGGGTTGAGTAAGGAGGGAAGAAGCAATAAGCAACTTTGCTCACGGCTAGGAAGGTGGGCTGGACTTGGTCACTGCTCCCCCTCTGCCACCCAAAGGAATTTCTTAGCTGACTTGATGTGCTTTATTACTTCTGTACAACTTCTCAGGATGCACCTAGTGGGTGTTTAAATGTACAGGATTCGCCGTCTGTTGCTTCTATAGGACTTCGTTAAGGGGCTGACACAATCACCATGATCCCTCCTCAGCCCTTCCCCAAATGCAGTAGACTCAGTCTCTGGAGGGCAGGTAAGAGACACCTGTCTTCCAGATGGGCACTGGGGCTGACGACAGAAGGCGGCAACTAGTGGGGTCCCTTGCCTGTGCCTGTGTGTGAAGCTACCAGATAGCAGACATTTTCATGCCATTTATTCAGTTGCTTACAAAATACCTTAAACTGTAAATAAGCCTACCTAAGAGCTAGACAAATCCATTTTACTTGATGACTCCTCTGAAACTTAAGGAAAGTTGCCCAAATAAAGTCCCTTGGCTACAGGTGTCTGAGCCATAGACGAAGCCACCCAGATGCTCAGCTCCCCACTGCCCTGTGCTTTGTGGGGGCTGTTGTCAAAAGGAAATGATCACAAAGGGGAGTTTCCTCTCCTCAACTCTGGTACTCGGAAATGCCATGAGGATGACAACACCCAGACAGGCGTCACCAGAGGGCTCCTCCTTTCCCGGGTCTCCCCAGCCCAGAGGAGCTCCCTTGATCTCAGCACAAACGGCAAGAGAGCCTAGAAATTTGGGGCAAGGAGGAGCCAAACAACCGAGGACCCAGAGACCGGTTTTTCACGCCAGCGGTGTGCAGGATGTGCCTACCGCTATACACGCTCAGTCACATCTTTAATGCTTGTAGCAGGGGAGTGGGTGGGAGAGCAAAGGTCTTTCCAGCCCCACTAGAGTTCTCTCTGGAAGAGACATTACTGACATTCTCTCAGGGTTTGTTTAAACACTAAAACACTTTTAAAAATCCACTCTAAGCACAAGTGTCAGCTGGAGAGAAAACACGTACTTCGAGTCAGAAAAGTGAAAAGGCAGATAGATCTACCCAGTGCTGTCTGAATACTTTCTAGGCTTCTTTCTATTTTATATAACAGATTCTCACATGCCCCTTCTGACCGGTCACGACACTCATAATTTCTCCTAAAACATCCTAACTCTGATTAGCTCAGCTTGGACATCACCAAGGCACTGGAGAATTTGCTCTTCAGACATGGGAGGGACCCACAGGAGGAAGCGGGGAGCTGGTGTTGGGGAAGGAGGTGTGGGGAGATCCCCTTCTTTTTAGCAGCCTTCCCTGCCCCAGCTCCAAGAGCCCGCTGGGCCATGCAGCTCCAGGATGGGCAGGGGTGGCACCCTCGTTCCCAAAGGGAGGCATCAGACTCTGTTAATAAAGAAACAGAACTGCATGACGGGATGCTTTGACTGTCACCCACACAGACGAGCAGAAGCTACAGACAGAGAGGCACTATGGATGGCGCTCGGGACAGAGGTGAGAATGGCCCGGAACTCTGTCTCTGGTAAAGGTGCCAGGTTTACAGGACTTATCGTGGTGCCCTCACCAGACCCCTCCTCCTCCTCATCCTCCGTGGCCGCTGGCGGCTCCTGCATCTCCTCTGGGCAAGCCTGAGGCCGGCTTCTGCTGCCTGAGACAGTCACGCGGGCTTGGGACCTCTCACCTGAGGTCTCTGAGTGCTGAACTGGTGTGGAGGTAGCTAGGCCCGGGAGGGAAATGTGGTCACCTGTGTCGTCTTCTTCAAAGTCGTTAAGGCAGTACACTTCATCCAGGTCAACGTCCAGTGTCCGGAAGCCCTTGGTGACCACACCTGGCCGAGGGTCCAGGATGCCCCCGAGGTGAGGCTGGGCCAACTGCTGCCAGTGGTGAAGGGTGGCAGAACCTTGCAGGAGAAAGAGTAGAGAAGGGCGGTGAGGCAGGGGGGAGGCCTAGGAGGGCAATTTAAGCCGACACCGCCTCCACCCTCAGAGCGCGGAACGTGAGCCCCACGGCCTTCGTGCCACAGTGGACACCGGTAAGGGGACACAGGCAGCTGCCTTTGCTCTTCCTACTGTGAAACAGAATTGACTACCCTACTATGCCCAGAAGGAGCATGTTTTTTCAAAAAATTTAGGAGTAAAATGAATGTCATACAGTGTATGGCACTGTATACATACTTGGTGTGTGGCACCAAGGATGTCCGGTGACAGAACTATTTTAACCAAAGCCAGCCCCCAAATCCATTACAGAATCACTTTAAAAACTGAAGAGATAGGGCCCTCCCTGGTAGCGCAGCGGGTTAAAGCACAGCACTAAGAAGCCAAAGCCACTTCCGCATGAGTTCGATCCCCGCCTGCCCCGGAGGAGATCCACATGGCGTGGCAGACCTCTCCTGACCCGCCCGCTGCTCCCCTCAGCAGTGTACTTCGTTGATCTGCCTGTTCTGCTCCCCACTCTGTCCCTGGTGAACAAAATTGATGCCTCTGGACTGAAACCAGTATTATAAGCACAGAGCTAAATAAATAACTCTTTAAAAAATAAATATAAAAAAAAAAACTGAAGAGAAAAACAAGACAAGCACAAAGGGGAGGGGAGGAGACCGTGTGTACCAGTGTGTCAAGTGCACATGTCAGGGAACTGGGGAGACCTACACCAAACCCACCCCAGCTCCCCAAAACGAGAAGAGCAGGAAGAAGCTGAAGCAGCACAGGCAGCAGGTGGACATGCCCACTGCCGGCTTTATGTGGGCTTTCTCTATCCTGCCAGCAACCGAGAGGCTGCGGGAGTCGGGGTGAGGGAACTGGTCTGAAGGGGTGTGAGTGAAGAAGACAGTCCTGAGGCCTGAGGCCGAGGAGTGGATCTCCCCAGTGACACCAGACCCCGGCACTCAGATGGCATCACAAGGTCTGTAATAACACCAGACCGTGCCCCTGAGTACTGATGAGTGTCCTGAGGCTCTGCAAAGAGAAATGTTCCAAGGCCAGTGTGCTCTGGGGAGCTGGATTGAGACGAGTGTGTGCTGAGGGGCGTCTCAGAGCCTACAGTACTGGGGTTCTGCCCCACCCAGATGCCCCCAGGACACCTCTTTGGGGCGGATTGTGCAAGGCTGCATGCTCTGGCCCAGGTCAGCACTGGGGAGGCCACTCAGGCAAATACGCCAAGAGAGAGGCTTTGGGAGAGGTTGCCAGCATGGGGGAAGATGGGTCTTAGACTCCATGAAAGATACCAGGGGGGACAGCCACGTTTTGTGTTATAATTTTAAGAAACAAACAAACAAAATCTCCTGTGAGTGAATCTTAATAAAGTTGGAAGCACAGAACCTTCCCGCACAGCCATCCACTGCTGGCATACCAAAGGGGTCGTCTCTCGGGTGGGCAAGAATCCCTTCAAGCTACCAGGGCGCCATGAGGAACATCAGAAGGGACCCAGGGGCTAGAACATCAGGACAAAACTGAAGGGGAAGGACAGCAGGGGGCAGGGCAGGGGGTGGTCCAGGGTAATGGAGCAGATGCAGAGTTCCTCAGGAGCTCCTGGCCCTCGGGGGCACCCAGTGCTGACACCCTCCACCCCCCAAAACATCGCCACTGAGTAACTTTGCACAGGACAACCTCCACTCAGCAGTCTTGAAAGGATTTGGATTTGGGAAACGGTAAATCCACTTAAAAGGGTAAAACTTGTACACGCTGCCAATGTATGTTTAGAAAAGTTCTTAGATACCATGTTGACTCAATCCCAGATTGAGGTGTGCGCAGAACAAATGCAACCTCCTTAACCTGAATCTATTGAATGTGCACAGAGAAAGGTGACCTGGTGACGGGGTAGATATGATGAAAGGGGTATATATAGGAGGTAAGATGCATCAGAGCGGTGGTTCTTGACTAGAGACCATTTTTGTCCCCCAGGGAATATTTGGTGTTGTCTGGAGACATTTTTGTCTCCCACCACTATACAGGGAGAGGGGGTTGCCGCTGATGCTGGGAAGAACCAGGGATACTGAACATCCTACAACGCCCAGCCAGTCCCCTACAGAACAGGTGTGAGAAGCCCTGGGCTGGGGCTGTGGTGCTTCATTCTCAGATCGTTGGAGAACCGGTGGTCTCTTGTGCCAAAGGGAGGGCACACAGAAGTACGTGGCTCTTTAGCAGGCTCTGCAGACAAGGTGAAGTCGGTCACAGGACCTGGGTCCAAGGCTGCCCAGTGTCATCTTTTCCTTAAAGCTCCCCTCTGTTGAGACATGTCAAGATGGCAGCTTGTTTTGCACGTATTACATCCCCTCACTTCTCAAAAGCATCTGATCAGAAGTTAGGTAACTTTCAAAGTCACTGCAATAGTGATGGCTCAGCCAGGGCTCACCCAGACTCTCAGTGATTTCACAGTGCCCACAGGTCTGAAAACACGACATGTGCAATCCAGCCCAGGACCCAGCTGTGTACCAAGCAGTGGCTGCTAAGCCACACAAGTAGTGGGCAGTAAAACTTGCAGGGGGTCCCCAAGGTCACCCGAGATGCAGACTCAGGCTGATGGGCTGTCTCATGCCACACCTGGAGACCCCCTCTCATAATCATGAATAGTTCCCCGTTCACATGCTTCCTGGAAGTACTGGCGCATTCCTAGCAAGATAGCTGCTGGGGAGGGGATGTTACACGAGGCACACAGCACCCAGCTTGCAAAGGCACACACAGGTCTCAGAAAGATGTGATATCTCTGGTGCAATGTGGCCACGACACCTCTACTTTCAGAAGGAGAATTCTGGAAAAAGAACAATGGTGCCAAGGAAATATCAAGTCTCTTCATGCTTCTGAAGGGGGCTTAAGACATTTATGAGGCACTAGAAAGCACTCAGCGGAGCTGGGGGACTGGACCTCAATCCTCTACTGCTTAGCAGACTGCCCCATCTCTCCCCACCCCATGTACAGGCACCAGGGAGAAGTGACGCCAAGGTGCAGTCTAGAGCTTACAAGGCTCCATAACCTACCTGGGGTTATTATTTGCATTCCCTGAAAGTAAGCCAGGGAAATTTAGTGATATTACAATGAAATGGTTATGATGAAAGGTGCCTCCTACCCGGGCCTTGGGCATCCTGTACTCCCCGTAAGAAACCAAGTTTTATTGAGCATTTACTATGTGCAGGCATTCTTCTAAGATGGCCCCATTTGTTGACTTACTTCACAATAACCCTGCCATCTCCACTTTACAGATGAGGAGACTAGGCACTGGATGGCACAGGAACTTGCCAGGGGCTGCACAGTTGGAACGTGGTTCAATCCGGCTAACTCCAGTGCCTCCCCCCCCCCCCACACTTAACCATACATACTGCCTCTCAGCTAGCAGTGAGGAAGTCTTGTAGACCAGAAACTGGTCTTGCTAAGGGGGCTTCCCTAACCCTCACACAAAGGTTTTCTATCTCACAAAGGTACAGACTGGTGAAAGCCACCACACCTTGACTGTCACTTGAGCTGTGTTCCTCTGTGGGGCCCATGGACCGTCTCCACAGCAACAGGGTTTGCTGAGCCCAGAGCTGGGTGGAACACCTCACACCCCATCTCCCTTCTGTGGCCAGGGCCTGGACCAACATGTAGGAATTCTGATTTTATGACTGTCCGAGGCCTTCCTTGGACACAAGAAGGCATACACATTTAAAAGCAAATACGGCCACATCTTGTTCAGAGCCTGTGTTACCTCTTGCCTACTCTTCCTCAGGACATTCTGGCTTCCTTTACTTGTTAAGCACAGAGCAGGAGGATCACTATGCCATTCCTTACCTCTCATTATCCACCCATCCCCCAGGAGAATGAGGTTGGGGTCAGGTAATCGGGCAGGTAAAGAGTAACCATGTGTTCTTAATTGGCGCCACAATAAAGTTCTCTGGACCAAGGGTGTGGACAGGGGGAAAAGGTAATGACAGCCACTCCTCCTCGCCCTCTGTTTATTTTCCTTCTTCCACTGTTTGTTTTCCTTCCACCCCACTGTTCTAACTAAAAAGTTTGCATGTCATCAAAGGAAAACCAATTCATTTATGTAAGAGAACACCTGAGGCTTGAACTAAACCTGGTAGATGATGTACAGCTTAGAAGTACATGTTTTCCTTAATTACACATTAACTTGTTTATTTGGAGAACTTGGTTATAATTAATCAGAATGAAGGAGCAAAATACAGGGGAAAAGTTACTGCCAGGCTCAGTTTTTCAAAAGAGATCTCTCTCTCTGCTTAGATACTGTTTGTTCTTCACCTGCTTAAAACAGGTAAGGTGATCAAGAGGGAAGGGTGCCAGCATACTGAACACCTAGCCCTCTGTGCTGGCTCCTGCTAATAAGCAGATAGCAAGGCTAATTAAATAGTAAGGGAGACAAAGATGGAAGACAGAGATTGGCTATCTGCTCTGATCCCAGCCAACATTCTCTCGGGGATTCACTCCCAGTCCACTTATTTACCTGGGCCACTGGAGATCTCAGGACTCCTATCAGCTTCAGAGTGGGCCAAGGGGAAAGGATGACCTAAGAACATGGCCCCGGCACAACGCTTCTCCAGGTCTCAGACGGCTAAGACCAGTATTGAGACCTGAGCTGCTGGAATAGAGGTAAGCTCAGGGAGTGTAAGTTTCACTAAGTACTTCCTAGGTGCCAGCCTCAGTACACAAAACACACCCCATTTATTCCGCACCACAGCCTTGCGGGGCAGACAAGCGCCCGAGCACAGACAAAGGAGACTCGGCTCCAGAGGGCGAGGGAGCTGAAGCGGTGCAGAGCGGGGGGGCACCCCCCTCGCCAGGTTCTCAGCAGTGTGCCACTTCCCAACCCCAACAAGAAAGAAAGTTATGTGGAGGGGAGGCAGGAAATGTGGGTGTGTTTTAAATAGCTAAGAAGTCAGAGAATTACAAAATGCAACGAGAGGGCTCCCTCCCATGAGGACTGTTCCAAGCCACAGTGATAGGACGTGACATCGTGGGCGTGGTTACCTTTCTGGTGGGCAGGGTACTACAGATGAAATTTACCTGGCACTTCTGACGGGTTTCCTCTTACTTATACACTCATCACAAAAATACTGTTATCTAACTGACAAGATGAAAAGAAAAAAGGTGACTTGGCCAAAATAAACATCATAAAAATCTCTTCCTGCAAACTCAAAAAACATTCTTAGGTGATTTAATGGAACACAAAGTCAAATATAGAAAACAGACAAGATAGAGATGATAAAATTTCAATGATCTTAGACAAAGAAGAAAAAAAAGAAAAAAAAAAGGCGGAAAGTAAAATTGCAGAAATGGAAGATTTTATTGAAAGAAAAATAGACATAATTGTGGATCAGAAAACAATCACCAAGCTTACAACTGAATAAACAATTTTAAAAAAAGAATGAGTCATCCCTTTCCTGAAATCAAAGGAGGAACCTAAATTACACAATTAAAAAATAATCTTGAAAAGAGAACATTAGCCCCCACCTCCTCTCTTCCTTTGGAGAATTTGGGGCTTCCTATGTCTTGGGATTTTAATACATTCTTATTAATAAGGGTGATATTGCCCCCAAAGAGCTGAAAATCATTCTTGAGGGATGAGAACTGCACTCCTTTGAGGTACTGAGTACAGACATATAGTTGAGTCCTCACTTAACATTGTGAACAGGTTCTCAGAAGCTGCAACTTGAACTGCAACAGCACCTGGTGAGACCACTCTTATCACAGGCTAATTGATATAAACAAGTGTGGAGTTCCTATGTCTTATTTCTGGTCATAGAAAACAGCAACATACTTCTAAAGTAAGCCCCAAAGCAACTTCTAACATGAAACAATAATTTGTATTCATCAACCATTCACTCCCCAACTCGATTGTTCCAGTTCCTGGTCCCTGGGGCCGGAGCCTTTCCTGGCAGCTCGGGGCTAAGGTGGGAACACCTGGGCAGGATACCCTTCCATCACGGGGCGCATCCCTACACACCCCCATATTCACCCTAACGAGGGCAATTACTCTAACACACACATCTTTGGGATGTAGGAGGAAACCCAGTAGCCACAGAAAACCCACAGAGACATGGGGAAAACATGTAAATCCCACATAGACAGTGACCCTGAGTGGGAAACAACTCCCCCCCCTTCACCCCCATCAATGGTATAACAAAGTGACATTGAAAAAAACAATGTTACCTGAGGACATGCTGTGTATACAGCACATAAACAGTGTGTCTATGATATTAAGTTTTTAGGGGGAAGGGAAGAAATAAAACTGAATGCTCTTAAAAGTGGGCCGCCCCCAAAATGTTGAGAAGTACAGCCTTCCAGAGATTTTGGTTTTCCTTTGCATTAGAAATGTAATACAGAATTTTAAAATACCTTCTCAAACTCACATGGGTTTCTCAACTAAAGGAATAAAAAATTTGAAAGACAGAAAACTTGGTTCTGACAGGGTTAGGAAGGGGAAGAAAGCTCATAACGCCTGAAGTAAAAGGAAGGAAAAATTAAGAGGTGAGCTTTTCCAAGAGCAGATCATCTGGGGGTGTCTGTGGCACTAAACAATGAATTGCCCCGGAAAAGACAGGCTTAAGGAGGGATACAACTTACTCCACGGTCACCCCTTTTCTGCATCAGAAGTCACCCCCTCTTTCTCTGAAGATCAAAACGCACTCATGACACCACAAACAGCAAACTGCTTCTGCATGGGTACTGCAACGACTGGGAGCAGGCTTTGCCGAGGCCCTCACCCCAACAGGCCCGAGCAACGAAGCCTGAATTCACGCTCTACGCTTCAGGCCCCCCAGCACGACCTCATTAAATTTTGAGTGTCGGCAGTGCCTCTGCCCTTGAAGAGGGTCGTGTCTAAGATTCTAAAGGCAAAGGAAAGGCCGCGTTCTCTTTGGCGTGGCTGACGAGGTTAAGGCCTGCGGCCTGCGTGTCGGCCGGCCCCAGCGGCCCTAGAGGAACTCAAACCAGCAGCGGGGGTGGCTATCTCTGAAGAAAAAGGAGTAGGTGTTACAGAGGTTCCCCGCCTTGCGGTGGTGGATCAGGGCCCACAGGGAGTCGCTGAGGAGGACAGAGAGAGGCCGAGGCCCCTTGTGATCACCTTCCAGCGGCTTCACGATCTGGAGCTTCTCGGGCAGGTAGGAGCGGCTGCTGAAGGACATGCCGGAGAAGCCGGTCAGCTCCGAGAGGCGCGAGTGCGTGCCGAGGGACATGACGCTCTCCGTGGGCGTCAGGGAGCCGCTCAGCAGCTCGCCCTTCTCCGCCAGCTCCCTGAGCTTCCTCTCCTGCTCCTCCTCGAAGAACCTCCTCTCGGAGAGGTAATTCTCGCGGCGGAGGGACAGCCGCCGGAGCGCCGTCTCCAGGTCGTGGGAGCCTGGGGTGCCCGGGGTCCCTGGCTTCTTGCGGTCCTCAATTCTGCAAGGCAGGAAACAGGGTGAGCGCAGATCGCCCAACAGGGGGGCCGAGCAGTGCGCTGCCAGGCCTGCGGGGGACACTTCCCGCTGGCGGCAGGATTTTCTAGGGAAACCAAGGCAGGAGAAAGTGCCTGCCCCAAAGGACGAATTGCCGCCAATGGTTTCACCTGGGGAGAGGGGGTGGGTGGCAGAGGGGAGACGGGTGGCACACTAAGGATGAATGAAAATGCCGCACATCCTGGGTAAACCTTAGTTCCTTATAAACACCTTCACCAACACTAGGAAGAACTCCTTAAGCCTCACGAAGTTCCTGGTAGCCAGAGGGCAGCTGGCTCAAGGGGTGTGTTTATTTCCTCCTGAATGAAGGCAGTTCTGATTAAGCAGCTTCCCAACAGATCCAACTGCTCGAGAAGCAATTTAAGTGAGAGAAAAGGGTGCACACCATGGACAGTGTTACCGCAGGGAACACAGGGGCTGGTTTATGCAGGCTTTGGGGGTGGCGTGGATGGGGGTGACCACTGTCCAGGGACACCCCATGTGCTGGGTGCTGGCTGGGTAACTTGTACCGCCTCAGATTTGGGTCACAAGAATGAGTATTCAACCTCCTCAGCCTTGCAGATATCCAGGTTACAGATGCGTTCACAAAACAATGCCTGTTCTGCAGCCCAACAGTGAGATTTAACGGAGCAAGAAACCCTGGCTGCGTCTTGTTCTACCTCTTCACGTGGGCAAAAATATCAAGTATCAAGGATAAATGCAAGCCCAGCCGGGCTGGCAGAACAGCTGTGAGAACCAGGAGGTTTCTGTTTTCCAGGTGATTCCCGGCAGGATGCGCGGCAGCCTCCCTCTTCCAATTACTGGAATCTGCACGCAGTCTACAACACCTCTCCCTGCCAACCAGGATTAAAATCCCTGTGGGCTCACCCCTGGTCGGCTGACTCTGACTCCAGGATAATGCTGCTCGTCTTGTTGTCCAGGATGACATTGCCAACGTCACTGCCATAGAAGCTGGACCGGGGGGTGCTGACGCAGCTGGACAGGAGGGAGTTCATGGCTGAGGACTGGTTGGAGCCAGGGATGTTCATGGGGGAGGGTGTCAGGGACCTCTGCTTGACCACCTGGTTGATGTTTCTCACCGTCTCAAAGACTCGCTTCTGGTGACTAGAGAGAACGCACAACGTCATCCATGTGTAAATAAATGCAGAGTGACCTTGGGGTTAACCACCCCCTCCCCATCCTCTCAAAAGAAATTATCAACTATAGGAGCCAAAAAACAGCTGACCCGGGCCCTCCCTAGTGGCGCAGCGGGTTAAAGCACTGCACTAAGAGCTTAAGCCACTTCCGCATGAGTTCGATTCCCGCCTGCCCCAGAGGTGACCACATGGCGTGGCAGACCTCTCCTGACCTGCCCGCTGCTCCCCTCAGCAGTGTACTTCATCGATCTGCCTGTTCTGCTCCCCACTCTGTCTCTGGTGAGTCCTCTCACCCTCCGCATCTCTGGCCTGTACCCCAGTTCTATATGAATAAATAAATAAATCTTTAAAAAAAAAAAAAAAACAGCTGACCCACAGTGGGCTCTCAGACGCCCTGCCCTCCTGTGCATGCCACATGGTTCTTAGGGTACTGGGTGCAAGTAGACAGACTCTGCACCCACCGAATTCAGGAAAGTGGTTGTGTCCTGAAGGTGAAGCTAGCAAGAGTGGTGTATTTCCCCGTATCTGGACCTTAAGCTGTGTACAAACCACTGAGACCAGGTGGCACTGAAGCCTAGCTGTCACCTGTCAGGGTCACCAACGGGTTACCCTGGGACTTCTGGGAAGCTCAAAACTAAGGCCTTACGCAATGTCTGGAGACTCGGGTTCTTCCAACTGCAGCTCCTTGCGCATTGTTCCCTCAATCTCCGCTGCCAAGGAGTCCTGGGAAAGGCCAGCAGACACACAATTGAGTCACAGTTCAGGCGGGGTCTCTAGAAAGGCTCATGGCCAGCCAATGACAGGGGAATAAGCTGTAGCCCATATGAAGGCCTTTTATTCCTGTTTAGCTGAAGAGTATGCAAACACACCCTATGTCTCCTTGGCCAAAGCACAGAGCTGTCACTATGGCTACCAGACGTGGCCTTATAAAGAGAACCTGAGTTGTGGACACTCTGCTCTCGTGTGCATCTCCCTCCTGCAAGAGAAACTCACCAGCAGTCCACACATGGCTTATTCACCATTACCAATCAGCTCACATTTCACTAGTAAGCCTCTCAGTACATCAATCCTTGTGACTTCTCTGAACAGTTAGCTCCCTTATTCATGTCTTTCTCTAACAAGACTATATGTTTTGTGGGTCAAGGAAACCAGTCACTATTGACTTCTTATCACCCTGATGGGTCAGGCCTGGAGCTAAAATTCAAAACCACTGCCAGACGACATTCGCTCTCGCTGAACCTCCAGCCACTCCTCACGGCTGAGACAGCCCTACCAGTGACCCTTCACACTAGCGCAAGGAGATGCCAGCAGACCAGGTGTGTGCAGGAAAGTGCCCGCAGAGGCCTCAAAGGGCGACAACTTGAAGGGAAGGGCTAGACCCATGAAAAGCCCTGTGAATGTTCTGTTTCTGCCTGTCCAGTGTGGGGGCCATTGGTCACAGAGGCTAGCGAGCACTGAAAATGTGGCTGGTGAGACCCAGGAACCGAGTTCTTATTGTACTAATCACAACTGATTCAAATGTACGTAACCACTGGAGGCCAATGGCTTCCCGGTAGACAGTGCAGGGGGACTGTCCAGAGAGTCCATCACCACAGCCCCACAGGCCAGCAGGGGATCCTCCGGTCTGGAAGCTGGAACCAAGTGGGGAGACTTGACATTAGTCAGCAAGAAGCATGATCTATGAAGGGTTCATGGCCTTGCTTTCAACTCTTAGTTATGAAGATGCAACTCCATTTATTAATTATAACCCACAGATTGCCCTTAATACAACTCCTCAGAAGGGCTTCTCTAGGTCTGCTGACATTTTGGTTAGCTGGTTTATTTTTCATAATGATGCTATTCAGCATATATGCTACACCCAGAGTCTTGCATGAGGAAAGGGCCTGCATACAACTTAAGAAAAATGAGAGTTAAACTAATTACAAAGTCACACTGGGACAGAGCCAGAAGCAGAACCTGACATTTTTTTGGCCATGACCCCCTCTGGCAGTTGGGGAAGCCCACAGACACATTTTGTAGAGTAATATTTTAAAATGAATAAAATCATCAGGACTAAAAAGGAAGCCAGGTATTTAACCAGGTACTGGAATATTAGTATCATATTGACAAAAGTAACACCTTGGACCAAACCTCAGGACTGGTGACCGCTGTCTCCTGGAAGGGAAGGTTAGCACGAGAGGGATTTTGAGTAACTGCACAATCGAAATGTGCTCTGGAGTTAGCTGTGACTTTGAATATGACAATGTTGGGGGGAGGGCTGACAGTTACAAAAGGCCTGGTCCCCCGAGTCCCCTCTGATCCAATTAAGGACTCCTGCGACAAGGCGCTGAGGGCAGTCCTGAGCCAAGCCGCTACACACTGCTTTATACAACAGTTAGAAAGACCAGGAGCGAAGGGGCAGATATGGGCGCTCTGCTCCCCAAACACGGCACAGAAAAGCCTCAGGGTGTTCTAAAGGCCTTTCGTGCATAATGGACTCTAAAAATAGCCACCTTCCAAGATTGAGCTGTGCCAACAGCTACAGAAAAGGCAAACAAAAAAGCTTCACCTGAGCAAATATGAAAGTAGGAGCTTTCTAGGAGAAACCCCAACGCACATTTGTAGTTCACCTTGTGTATAATGGTTGAGTTTTAGGCTGCAGGTGCCTTGTGAGAACAGGAGACTCGCAGGTACCAGGCAACGGGACAGCCCGGAGACCTCTGTAGACGACACCAGGGAGAGGGAAACCCAAGTCCAGGGTGCAAACTGCAGGGTCAGCCTGGAGCTGAGTGTAGTCAGCCCCAGGGCGAGCGTCGGGGTGGGAGTTGTGCTCAGGGACAGACGGTTCTTTGCTCCTTCACTGGGAGTCCCGGGATCACTGGTTCACAAATCTGACACCAGAGAGCTGCTTATGGTCCTTGTCTTTCTGTTTGGTTTCCCTTATATTCCAATCAGAGGTGGTAGAGAGACAGAGCTAGCCTGATGCTGATGTATGAAAGCAAAGAAAGAGATCTTGTTGGACAATGGAGGCGGGGGGCTGAGTGGCCTGCGTGACTGAAGGGAGAGGCCAGGTCTGGGAGGGATGGAGTCTCAAAGTGTTTATACAGCCATTATTTAGGGGAGTCTCTCTCAAAAGTTCTTCCTCAGAAACAGTTTGGTTTTTTCAAGGAAACAGCCTGAGTATGAAAGTTCCTGTAGCTTGTTCCTCAGTCTGCCTGTGCATCCTGTTAGTGTGTGCCAGTTCTACAACATTCCAGGCGCTGTACTTAGGACAGGTAGTAAAGAGCTG